TCTATAAAGATCTGTTAACATAAGAACTGCTAATTATTTTTTACAGTTTCTCCAAAATGTTAATTAGGACAGAAGGGTTAAAGGAAGTTTTGTTGTTTGTAAAAATAAATAATTCTTGCAAACATTTTCACATTCTTTTCAGGGTAGAGAAAAACATTTAGTATTACATGTAAAGAACTTAATATTTTCAGGCAGGACTTACAGTTGTTATTTCACTTAGAGCTTTCAGCAGTGATTGAAAAAACTCTTCTCTTTTGCAACAATAGATAAAATGGCAAATTATAAATGGATGTAAACCTTCCACTTAAAAAAAATATTTAAAATTGTACAAATCTGCATTTGTAATCCAGGCTGATTTTCCCTTCAAAGATTCAACCTTTGCCGCATCTCAATTTTTAATAGTTTCTAAATAGAAGTCTATACTAGTTACAACTGCCAAATACTTTCTTGCATGCTGCTTCAAAAGCAAAAACATGCAGTGATCCACAGTCTGGGCACCAAACATAAAATTTTAATGATGAGAAAACCAAAAAAGGCTTTATATTCAAGTTTGAACAAAATTCCAAGGCACAAAGAAAAGACACTTAAGTTTTAATTATCACTATATTGTTGAAGTAGTATCAGAGATCCTGAGAGATCAAGAATCTGTTTCTTATACTACATGTCCCATTAAATCTACATTCAACATTTCCCATTCATCATACTTTTTTTGCTCCTTTTCTTTTTCTTCATTCGCTCTACCACGTTTCTCGTAATTTCTTTCTTTAAATTAAATATGCAGGCAAAACAATTGATCAGAAGGACGGAAAGCTACACATCATGAAAAACGGCATCAGGAGACAGAGGAAGAAACTAAGTAGTGCCCTTTCAGAAAGGGCAAGCAGGCTTCGCTGCACATTTTGCAAGCTCTAGCTCTGCAAGAATTGCTACATTTATGGTAAAACACCACAAATTAAACTAGGAAAGGAATTTTAAAGCATAAAGTATCATTCTGGCTGCAAGGGAAGAAACATGGTAGTAGTCATTAATAACCTTAAATAAACAAGATAGGCTTAATATGTAAACCCAAAGGAAAAAAGTATGCATGGTGCAGAAACAAAAGGATCAGGCTGATCTATCCCAGTCAATTTCACATAAACCAGAGGGAAGTATGTTCAGCACTAAAGATTCTCTCAAGCAAATTATGACATTTAACACTCAAAGGTTTTAAAAAAAAAAACTAACAACCAACAACAAACCCACAGAGTTGCTTCTATCTTTAAGAAAAAAAACAACCCTAGAAAAACTGTCAAATGCTACCTTTAGTCCTTGTCTGAATGGAGAAGACATAATCTGTACTTTATGGTCATTACAAGGACAAGAAATAACAGGCTCAAAAATATGGGGAATGGACACAGAAATTTAAGCTAGATCTCTGGGGGGAAAAAAAAAAAATCCTTTTAACAATAAGACACACTAATGGGTTACGTAAGGAGGCTGCAGAGTCACCACCACTAAAGGCTTCTAAGGGCACATCAGATATACATTTGTCAGAAGCAACAGAAACATAGCTGAGCTTTGGGATAACAGATCAATTAGATTGTCCTTTCAACATCATCTTGTACAATTTCTCACAATTGCTGTAATTTCTATACCCAGCTGGGAAAACGGTAAGAGACACAGGGAGGAAAAGATAAGGAATCATGGCACGGATAGCAGCCTTGAAATACTTAAATATTCTGCCAAACTAAGACACCACAGAAGCTTACATTACAGAAAAGTAAGATTACTACAACATTGTTATAAGCCATCAACATCTTTTTAAGTGGACTTAAGGTTGACAAGATATTTCCACTTGAACAAAGCTGATATATATGTAGCTTCCCTGTGTCAGATTCAGCAGTAAAGACACACTTGCCTACAGAAAAATAGCTACTCCAGTTGAGTATCAGTGGTTTAACTAAGCTTCTGAGTCACCCTGAAAGCTCAAAAATAAACTTTACCCTCTATGAGACATGCTTTTAATCATGGAAAACCAACTTTTTCCTTCTATGTGTTTCAGTGAAAAAAAATCTATATAAATGTAATACAAATAGCCCATGCCAAGCAATTTATAATAAAAAGCCAAGCAGCACATTTCAATGAGCAATATTCTCATTTTGATTCCTCTCAATTTTTAATATTTTACCAACTTAAAATCTGTATATATAAAATGGATTAAAAGTATTTGGACCATACCTTACAGAAAATGCATGCATGTTAAAACAAATGTATTATCTCAAATACTGTGCAAACAGCCAATTAGTATTTTCTCCCATTATGAATATAGTTTCAAAGAGAACAGTCTTTCTTCCATTACTTGCTATTTCCACAACCAGCATTTTTTTACTTCACTTTAAATGGAGGCACTGCTCAGCACCAAAATTAAAATCATAAAAAGTCTTTTCAAATCCAGTTAGCTCGTAGGTGCAAGCCATGGGAGAAAGTTACAGTATTCCTCTTCAACTAATTTATAAATTATTAGATTTTATCTGTGGTCATTTCAAGACAGTCCACTGTTTTCTACTTATGTCCTCAGCAGCAAATGCTGTCATGGGTGTCCAAAACACAAAAAAGTGAACAGTGGGATTAAAGAGAAGTAACTGGAATGTTTGCTTACATATTCATGCTGGAAATACTTTCCATGACAACAGATGACTAATTATCAACTAATTCAAATATGTTCTCTAATTGTTTTTTGTTGTTTTTTTTTAATTTAGTCAAATTTAAGACAGCATTTTTGAGTAATTTGCCAGAGGAGAAAGTTTTAGTTGTCATTAATAATATTTTACTGCATAGGACGATGTATTTTAGTAATCTAAAAACTTGCATATCTTCCACTCTGAAGACAGCTAAAACATAGTATTTCACTATCAACACAGAAAGTTATGTCAAGATTCTCTACTTTACCCATTCCTCTTTCTCTGCTAGTAATAAGTTTTTCAAACATCTAAAGCCTCAACTTGGTCCTCTTCTCTCTACAAAGTCATTATTTCCATCTTCCAGTCTCATATAACTGATCTAGATATGTCTAATAATTTAGACCTTATGCATACTTTTGATACAGCCAATGCTAGGAAAGAAAAAAAATAATAATAATAATCACTCTCTTCACCAAGGTTACTTTCCTTGCTTAAGATCCAATTCCAACATCTCATGTTTTCCTCATTTTCAAGTATTTCGTTTTCAAGTACATTTCAAGTGCTCAAGGTTTCAAAAACAAGCTGAGGACCGAGAAGTGTTAGTCAAGTTAGCAAGTTAAAAAGTAAAAAAAAAACACACAAATGCACAAACTCTTAATAACAAGCTTTACAGATAAAAACCACCAGCTTAAAATGTAGTACCAAATGGCTAAAAAAGTAATATAAAATTCAATCCTATTATTAATCCTCTGCAGCAGGATTGAGAAACCCTGCAGAAATTGTAGATGTCCATTTTAATTTGTTATTATTTACTTGTTAGGAATGGATTCCTTTCAATAAGCAATAAAGATTATTTCAGCTGTCTTGGCAGCACTGCTGGCACGCTACATAAAAATGGCACAAGTGGCAGTGCCAGCACATCACAACAAGAAGAAATTAAACACATCTACAAAAAAAGTTTTGAAAATAAGTTGACTATGGCAGCAGAAGAGCAACACATTTAGTGCCTTCACTTTCCAGAAAGAGGTAAAAATAGAATGCCTTGAGTGAAGGTGTGATTTCTTTATACTGATATCAAAGTGATTTATCTCAATGATCGATTATTTAATTTGGTAAGATCACAAGGTCAAACCACTACTTTGATACTTAAACAAGGAGTTTGCATACTTACTTTGGCCTTTTACCATCATAGAATATCTTGAGTTGGAAGGGACCCATGAGAGTCATAGAACCAAACTCCTGTTTCCACATAGGGCAACTTAAAAACTAAACCATGTAACCAAGAGCATCCTCCAAACACTTCTTGAACACCAACAGCCTTGGGGCCATAACGACTTCCTTAAGAAGCTTGTTCAAGTGCTTGACCATCCCCTCAATGAAGAACTTTTTCCTAATATCTAATCTGAACTTCACCTGAAGCAGCTTTAAGCCTTTCTCTTGGGCTCTGGCACAAGACACAAGAGGGAAGAAGACAGTCCTTTCCTCTCTGCTTCCCTCATTTTACTTCTTTGGCCAATAAGTCTTAGTAATCTATACAGTGCTTTAAAAAAAATCAAAATCAACAAAAAAATTCAACCATACTCCTCTTTGTCTGAGCAGATAGTTCAAAGGGATGATCTGTTTAGTGAAATTGTCATTTCCCTCCCTTCCACCACCATAAAGCATGAATATTCTGGCAACACTAACAGAAAACATTTTTAAAATAACAAAAAAAACAACAACAACAAAAATAGTTCAGTAAAAAGTTATCTCCTCCCCTACATTAAGATACAGAGAAAATGTAGTAAGACTCTACTGGTTGTCTTAGCAATGAATATATGAGAAACTGGCCTGGAATCGAGGGCAAGCTAGGAAGAGAGAAGTGTAGTAAGCTGTAGCAGCACTGGAACCTGAAAAAGGCAAATAGCTACACTACACATAAAACCCTCTTTTGGCACGTTTCTGTATTTAAATATACAAGTTGCTGAGAACAGACTGTTGCTACCAATATGGCATTAGAACTGCTCCTTCCCCCAATGTCTCTCTCAGCCGTAAGACACCTTGAAGACAGTATCGGCACTCGTAGGGCACACGCGCACACCTGCTGCTACCGCTTCAGTGTTATTTATCTACCCAGGGCATTTCTTTTAACTGGCAGCACAAACACGGGGCTTAACTCCATCCTCCTGATGACCGGGCTCGGGTCAGTGCTCCTCACCCTCGGCTGGCTGCTGGAGCACGCCAGGCCCGCCGCGGCGGCCA